GTTGCCAGGAAGCACTGAGAGAAAAGGTCTGTACAAGTGACCGTGGAGGACCGAATTTTCCTTCTACCTATCTAGCCAGTACTTCTCCATCTGTTTTGGATGTTTCCTTCCACCACCCAACATCAGCTTAGATCCTCTTCGCTTCTGTGCTATCTCCTGTTCTTAGGTGATCTCATCCACTCCAAAGGCTTAAACACCAAATACATGCTGACTATCTCAATAACACGTGTGGCCCTAGCTCATGCCTCTCTTCCAGACTCTGAATCCCTCTGCCCAGCGTCCGACTGGATGCTGATATCATAAGCATCTTATATCTAAAGCTGCGTTCTCGATCCTCAGCTCCAACCTGACAATATTTTTCTCCTCCTCTTCTTTTCCTCATCTCCGTAAGCTCCATCTGCAGTTCGTCAGGCCAGAAACTGGGATCCATGCTTGATTCCCCTTCCCCTTTCCTCCACATGTAATCATCAGTAAGCCCTGTTTTCTCTCTCTGTCCACCTTTCCTTACATCCCCTGCTTCACTGTGCCAGGCCCCGCCTGGGTGCTGCCAGTCTCCTACTGCACTGTCTGGCTTTTAACTTTGCCCCCCATAATTCATTACTCTCCCAGCAGCCAAATGATCTTCTAAATATGCAAAATGATCTTATCACATTGGCTTAAAAACCTGCAGTGTCTTCCTGTGCTCTTGGGATGAAATCTAAACTCCTTCTCGAGGCCTCTGAGGTCCTGTGAGATTAGGGCCCTCAAGATTTGGCCCTGCCTTGGCTCCCAGTGTCTTGTCTCAGCCGCTCTCCTTCACGCACCGTGCTCCTGTCACACTGGCTGTCCTTCAGATCTCTGAAACTGAGAGTCCTCTCTGCACTGGAGAAGATTTTTCTCTTGACTCCTCTGTTGCCCCTGTTTTCTTGTCAGAGCTGGTATTGAGGCAGACATGGACAGTAGGTGGAGGAAACAAAGGCCTGGGAAGTGCCCAAATGCCAGAGTCATACCAACTCGTGTCCAGACAATAACCCCTGCCCTTCCTGTGTGCCACCTGCCCAGGAAGAGAAGAAAAGAGATTCAGTGCTGCTTGCCTGAAGACACCGCTGCCAGGGACAAGGCAGGCTGGCCTAAACACCTTTGCAAGGGTTTGTCTGCCAGAGCAGCTCCAAACAGCCCAGGGAAAGGTCAACCCCTTTTTCTCTTGCTGTCCTTTCATTGCAGATTTCGAATCCTCTGGGATGAAGAGGTGGAAAGGGTGGGTCCTGAGAAGGCCTCCCTGGGCCGAGTGGTCTGGAAATTCCAGAGGACGCGTGTTTTGATGGATATTGTTGCCAACATCCTGTGCATCATCATGGCAGCCCTGGGGCCGGTGAGTGGGGGTGGCCCTTCCTTTGCCTTGTCTCTTAGGTCCCCAGCCTGGCAAAGAGTGTCATTGGTTACTTTGTCTACGAGCTGGTGGGTTGAGTACACTGTCATTATCTTTGTGCTCCTCAGGGGTGAATTTTCATAAAGCTAATCTTTGTCAAAAGCACAGCAGCAGCCACTGAAATTAATTAAAAGGTTTGCCTCATAAAGTCAGCTTGCTGACATTATCTGAGGCCTCTTACACCAACCTCAACCCCCAGTGGCCCTCTCCTCTCCCCACTGCGCTGTTTTACAGACGGTTCTCATTCACCAAATCCTCCAGCAGACTGAGAGCACCTCCGGGGAAGTCTGGGTTGGCATCAGCCTGTGTGTAGCCCTTTTTGCCACTGAGTTTACCAAAGTCCTCTTTTGGGCCCTTGCCTGGGCCATAAATTACCGCACGGCGATCCGGCTGAAGGTGGCCCTCTCCACCTTGGTTTTCGAAAACCTGGTGTCCTTCAAGACATTGACACACATCTCTGTTGGCGAGGTAAGCTGGTCCAGAAGGAGTCTAATGTTAGAAAATGAGTCCCAAGTTTTCTGAATCTGTGTGAGATTTTTTTCCTGGGTGGAACACCTGCTTCCATTTTGCTTGTCCATGTCCTGCCCATCATGTCCCCTGTCCCTGAAAAGTGAGGTGATGGAGACTCAAAACACTGGAGAGATTCAGGGAAAGGAGGGCTCCATTCAAGCTGGAGGATTTCAAAAAGCTTCCTAGTTCCAGCTGGAACAGGGCCCAGGAGTGACTTCATCCGGTCCCTTTGACTGTCAATGAGGACACTGAGGCAGTGCAGAGCACACCATAGGCATTTGATACAACTGATGGACTGATGGATCCAGTCATTCCAATTGTGTAGCATTTGGGGTGCCAAAGCCATGGTGGACTTCAGAGTTGACATTTTCTTAAGCCCTAATCCTTAGCAATAAAATCCTTACCACTTACTCAAGAAAATTTCCCTAATCAAGGGAGCCCCAGGTGATGTGAGGAATGAGAAAGGATTTGCTTCTCTCCCAGTTGCTCTTTTAGCACGTTCAAAGCATCCTATATCAAATATGATTAGATTCAGCTGCATGTAACAGGAAACCAAAAATAACATTGGATTAAGCAAGATAAATTTTTTTCACTCTATGTGAAATGAGGTTGGGAGAGGGCAATCCAGCTCGGAGCGAGGGGAGAAGAAAAAAGGGGGTGCCTTCCAAGTTGAGTTGGCTCCCTTGAAGAATACATCCCCAAAGTCCCATTCAACCCTTTGGCTTACATCTCATTGCCCTTGACATAGTCACATGACTGCACTCCTTCCACAAAGGAGGCTGGGAAATGCAGTCTTTTAGCTGGGCACATTGCTTGCTGCCTTGAATAAAATGGAGTTATGGTCACAGGAAGTAGGGAAGAATAGATGTAGGGTAGGCAGCTAGCAGTGTCTCTCCAGCACACTCCTAGACAGTAATGTTACTATTTTAAGTCTTTCTTTGCTGGAATTCTTGGTCTTAAAAGATTGGCCTTTCCAAAGTCGTACCAGAATGAGACCCGTAAAACTCATCCTATGGTCACCCAGTGACCTCCTCCCCCTTTAAGGCATTTTTTCTCTTCGTCTCTCCTGAGCCATCCTGAAAGCCTTCAGTTGAGGAAATGTTGACTCTTCCAAATCCTGAACCCTTGTGCTTTCTTTCCAGGTGCTTAATATCCTATCAAGCGATAGCTATTCCTTGTTCGAAGCTGCCTTGTTTTGTCCCTTGCCAGCCACCATCCCCATCCTGATGGTCGTTTGTGCGGTGGCCTTCAGTTGAGGAAATGTTGACTCTTCCAAATCCTGAACCCTTGTGCTTTCTTTCCAGGTCCTTAATATCCTATCAAGCGATAGCTATTCCTTGTTCGAAGCTGCCTTGTTTTGTCCCTTGCCAGCCACCATCCCCATCCTAATGGTCGTTTGTGCGGTAGCCACCATCCCCATCCTGATGGTCGTTTGTGCGGTGTACGCCTTTTTCATTCTGGGGCCCACAGCTCTCATCGGGATATCTGTGTATGTCATATTCATCCCCATCCAGGTAATGGCAGGCCTTTGCTATTGTCACTGCTGTACATTTGCATTTGGCACACACCCTTTTACTGAGGTGGACAGAAGGCTTCATTTCCAGGGCATGGACCTGAAGCCTGTGCCCCTCTTTGTGCTCACAGTGTGCTTCCTTTTGTTGACACAGTGTAGTGTGAATGTGAATTCTCTGGGGTGTGGGGGCGTGCTTTCTTCATTTGCCAAAGTCCCCAGCACTCCCCTTGCATCCAGGCAATTCATGCATTTATATCACCCACCTGGTCCCCAGCGGCATCCCCAGCCCATGTCAGCTGCCACAACGCCAGGGAAGGACTTGGCTGAGCATGTCAAGCCAACTTCTCTTAGAACTTTTCCTGGCACTTAAACTCCAATCCTTGGATTTTTAGGCCAACTGCAACTCAGCAATTCTCTCTGAACACAGCATTTTTACCTTGATTTCAGATGTTTATGGCTAAGCTCAATTCAGCTTTCCGAAGATCAGCAGTTTCAGTGACAGACAAGCGAGTTCAGACAATGAATGAGTTTCTGACCTGCATCAAGCTGATTAAAATGTACGCCTGGGAGAAATCTTTTACAGACACCATTCGAGGTAGGATGAGCAGCTGCTTACTTACCCTGTAGAATGTGCTCTTCTAAGAGGTTCTTAAGCTTCCCAGGGCCGTGTGTTCCAGAAGGAGGCTAAGGGCACCCCCTGAGCTGCTCTGCAGGTCAAGATTTTCAAAGGATTACGGAGATTTTTATAACAGACACAGGTGTCTGTTCTGGTGAACCCAAGGGTGAGCGACATATGTTTTCACCTTTACTGGGGCATGTGGATTCTGGCACTGACCAGTTACCTTTTACAAAAATAATCCACTAAAACATTGTGAGCAGGAAAAGTGCTGTCCCAAGCCGTTTCCTTGACAAGAACATGTCTACACACCCATGCCCACATTCAGGCTTATATGTCTGTCTCCTCCTCGCTTGCAGCAGGCTCATTGTGTTTGGATGGCCACGGACTCAACATCCCTTGGGCAAGGATGCATGTGTAGTTTCATTTCTTTTTAAGATGATATTAAGACTATTTCATTCAAATATAAATGCAAATCTAATTGCAGGGACATTTACATAATTGCTGACATAGACTTAGGTGGTTGGTTAATGATCTGAGCCACTGTTACGATCGACTCTCTGGATCTACATTTACACTTCTGCAGCAGCATGTAATTGGGACTGAAGCTGGATATCTGCACTTTAGGGAGTGGCTTTAGAAAACCTGCTTCAATTCTCACCAAAAGAAGTGCCCCAGATTGGGACACCAGCAGCCAGCACCATGGGACCCTCTTGGAGGATCCAGAAATACTTCCTCACACTCTGAACTCACTTCAATACTGTTTAATTTGACTTGATTAAATTTTATTCCATTTGACTTAATTCAATTTAAACCAACTCAATTTCACTCAAGTTGGTTTAATATAATAAATGTATACCACGTTGTTACTATGTGCAAGGCCATGGGAGCTACACCAATGATCAGGAAAAGGTTCTCTGCTGTTCAGCTCAAAAATAGCCATGTTTGTTGGCTCTCCCTCCAGAATATATGCGGGATCCATCTGCTTCTCTCTGTTGCACTGCTACCCAGTCCAAGTCCTCTCCCTCTCGGACTATGGCAAGAACCTCCAAAGGCTCCCCCTACTTTCCCCCTCCCCCCTGCAATCCCTTATGCACCCAGCAGCCAGAGTGACCTTTTAAAAATGTCAATCAGACCCTGCCCTCCCACTGCTGGAAAATCTTTAGTGGCTTCTTATCACACTTAGATCATTCCAATTTAGTCTTTTGAATGAAATCCAAACTCCTTCATATGGCCTGTTAGGTCCAACAGGATCTGGCCCCTGGCACCCTCCCTGACCTCATCACATCTTACCCTGACCTTTAATAACTCCACTCGAGCCATACAAACCTTCTGTCTGTTTCTAGAACAACATGCCATGTTCATTTGTGCCCCAGGATCTTTGCACTTGCTGTTTCCTGTCTGGGATGCTCTTCTGCTGGACACTCATGGTGACTTTGTCTTGACTTTAGGTCTCCTCTCAAAGTCACTGACCCAAAGAGACCTTCTGGACCACAGTCCCAAGCTTGTCCATGTCCTACTGGTGCCTCTTAGTCACTTCACTCTGTTCATTTCTTTTATATCACCCAACCCAACTTGTAATTATCTGTTTATTTCCTTACTGTCTATCTCCCCCACTGGAAGAGGGTTGAGACCCTGTTTACCCCTATATTCCCCAGCACCAAGCAGAGCGTCTGGCTTATAGTAGACATCAGATTAAAACTTGTTGAGTGGGTGAACACGTGAATTCATGACTGTATAAGGTAAAATGGGGAAAGAGCCACAGAGAAACCAAGGGAAGCTCCATGGGGGAGAGGGAGAAATGCTCTTGAATTTTTGTGGCTGTTCTTGGGACACTGGCCAGGGGCCCCATCTGGCAGTCTTCAGGTCAGCATGTTTTATTTGTTCTCTGCAGTATTTAAAAGTATGGAGATGTATCATAAAAATCTGGATCTCAGGCTTCGGAAGGGTTGAAGGTCTGGTAACGCCAGGCTCCCTCGCACTGGGAAGTGGCTGTCCCTTTCCTGGAGGCACGTGTTCCCCCTTCTGCCACACTCCATGCCCTCCCTCTGGCCTTACATTCTGCCCACTCCCTTCATTTAAAGTATGTGCCTGGCCCCCCTAGCCATCTGAGTTTATGATACACAGAGTATCCTCGCACTGGGAAGTGGCTGTCCCTTTCCTGGAGGCACGTGTTCCCCCTTCTGCCACACTCCGTGCCCTCCCTCTGGCCTTACATTCTGCCCACTCCCTTCATTTAAAGTATGTGCCTGGCCCCCCTAGCCATCTGAGTTTATGATACACAGAGTATCAGGACTGGAAGGGACCTTGGGAACCACCCAGTTATGGCAGCTGACATGGACTGAGCTCCTAGAACATGCTGGGTTTGTGCTGGGGGCTTTCTGTTTTTCCTGTCATTTAAACTGCATGACAGGCATCATTGCCACTTGTGTGGAGGAGGATCAGGCAGGGCTAATACATTACTTAATGCTGTTGCTTGACATGCAAACTAAGACCACCGGGGGCTGTTTCCAATTTTGCAGATATAAGAAGGAGGGAATGGAAATTACTGGAAAAAGCTGGATTTGTCCAGAGTGGAAACTCAGCCCTGGCCCCCATTGTGTCCACCATAGCCGTTGTGCTGACCTTCACCTGCCACATCCTCCTGGGACGCAAGCTCACTGCCCCTGTGGTAAGAACCATCTCTGCATCTGCCCTCTCTTGTATCCCAGCACTTCCCAGGTGGGAAGCCCCTCACTCCCTTTGCTGGACACTGGCTTCAGAACAACCAGTCACAGTAGGCCGGACTGTGCCGGAATTCAACTGCAACTTTTAGAAAAAAGTGCTCGGGCTGACAAGGAGCCCGGGAGTTCCCAGCCACGATTTTTCCCCAGTCCATGGCAGGGCAGGGGTAGTAGTTAATATGGGAGCACAATCTTTCATTTGGGAAAAAAATTGAAACAAAGAGAGCACTTGGGTGTCTTATTCATATATATGAGAAAAAAAAAGAGAGTTTGAGAACATTCTCTCAGTGGGAGGAATTGCAGGTATCAAGAAAGGTAGTGGTGTTGGGATTGGAGTCTGGGCTTAGAAGCTGGGTCTGTCTTGATTAAATCCTGACTCTACACACAGAAGCATCCCTGGCTCCTAATGGCTGTACAAGTGTTTGCTGTTCTTATTAGCCAGATTGTCATCCAGGCCAGGCAAATGTGTGTTGAAAGCCTCAGAGGGAGAATTGGGATGAATGTTAGATGTTCATGTTTTTTACAAGGGGACTTGAGCATGCAAAGGTAAAGAAATGCTGAGCTAAAGGGAAAATGGCTCCTGCTTAAGAAAGAAACAGCTATGCGCTAGTTGGTTGCTGAGCTGGTTAGAGCAGGGTACTGAGGACATCCCTGTATTGGCCAGCTGCCAAAAAGAAAAAAAGAAAAACAAAATAGCTAAGATATTAACCAAGTGTCTGCAGGGCAAATAGTTGAAGGAAGTCAATGAAGGCAAGAGAATAAAAAAGAGAGAGAGAGAGAGAAGGAAATGAGCAAGTACAGCACAGGTAAAGCACACAGAGGAAGAATTG